GAAGAAACCTCTCAATTCGACCCTGTTAGTTCCAACACCACACTGGAGGTGCAATTAGAATTGCACCACGTAGATGCTTTGTCTTCCGAAGATGCACCGGAGCGACTCTTCGACTTACGACTCCAACGCGACGCCCTCCGTTCCGGAACAATATACTCTGTCGTTTCGGAAGCCGTTGCCCGGAACTCTCCACGCGCGGCCGGGAGGCGTTCTGGGTTCAGCAGTTCTATTATTTCCGGACTCGCTCAAGGGAGTGGAGAGTACTTCACGCGCCTTGGTGTGGGTACTCCTGCCAGGAATCTTTATATGGTTCTCGACACTGGTAGCGACGTCGTTTGGGTCCAGTGTTCACCTTGCAAGAAATGCTACTCACAATCCGACCCGATTTTTGACCCAACTAAATCACGATCTTTCGCTGGTATTCCCTGTGGATCCCCACTTTGCCGCAGCTTGGATTCATCGGGATGCAGTCGACGCCGGATGTGTCTTTACCAAGTATCCTACGGTGACGGTTCGATTACTTTCGGTGACTTCTCGACTGAAACGTTGAGCTTCAGAAGAACCTCAGTGGGACCGGTGGCGCTCGGTTGCGGTCACGACAATGAAGGGTTGTTCGTTGGTGCGGCGGGTTTGTTAGGCCTTGGTAGGGGGAGACTATCATTCCCCTCCCAAACGGCACGCCGCTTCAACCGGAAGTTCTCTTACTGTTTGGTCGACCGGTCTGCGTCGTCTAAACCATCATCCTTGATTTTCGGCGACGCTGCCATTCCCCGAGGCGCCTTGTTCACTCCGTTGTTAACAAACCCAAAGCTCGACACTTTCTACTACGTCGAACTACTCGGGATCAGTGTGGGCGGGACACGTGTCCCCAAGATCACCCCATCACTGTTCACAATGGATCAAGAAGGTAACGGAGGGGTCATCATCGACTCGGGCACGTCCGTCACCCGCTTAAACCAACCCGCTTACATCGCAATGAGGGATGCGTTCCGTCTCGGGGCAAGGAATCTAAAACGGGCACCCGATTTCTCGTTATTCGACACGTGTTTCGACTTGTCGGGGCAGACTTCCGTTAGGGTACCGACAGTGGTGTTGCATTTCAGAGGAGCCGACGTGTCGTTGCCGGCGACGAACTATTTGATACCGGTTGATAGCAGCGGGACGTTTTGCCTTGCTTTCGCGGGCACAATGAGCGGAATGACCATAATTGGGAATATCCAGCAACAGGGATTCCGGGTCGCATATGATTTAGCGGGTTCCCGTATCGGGTTTGCTCCCCGTGGATGCGCTTAAAAACGGCGGCGCTTTTCTCTTTTTAACATTTTTCAATTGCAAGGGACAAAGCTCCATCCCTGGCTTTATTTTATTTTTCGGTGATTTTTTTAGGGTAAATCTGTGTTGGATAAGAATGCAAGGAAAAGATAATAAGAAACTTAGCTGTTTAGGAATAGAGAATGTCGTTTGGCGGGATTTCACGTGTTGTCCGTTGTACTTTTTCAAACACCATTAATGCAAGAAAGTATTTTTAATTTAATAAAATAAGACTTTTTTTAAAAAAAATAAGAGAGCATGGACATCGGCCAATGGAATCGTATTTAAATATTTATAATGACGTTATGATTATTGTTCTAATATTTTATTTTGAGTATACTTATTGCTTGTTTTTGTTGCCTTTTGAGGCTGGAAGAGAACATATTACAGAGTAAATGTTTAGCTAATAAGAAATGAATTTGGCCTGTGGCTGTGGGGAGTGAAGAGGGTTCCGTCCAACGCTAATTAAGCAGGTGGAGGCGGTATGTCAATGGGGGTTGGAATTTGGATTTGTAATAAAGTAATTTGCTAAAGTCAAGCAAATTGCTTTTTGATGTAGTTGAAGGCAAAGGGAAATTTGTCAAAATCGGTTGTTAAATTATTGAAATTATAATCTAATTTTTTAAAATCTAAGGCTTTTTATTTTAATTTATTATGTCTTTCGAATTTATATTTAGTGAAATGTACGATCTTAGACAATTTTTTGATCGTTTGGGCAACTAAATAAGCATGAAAACACATCTTGTGAAAATATAAGCTTACCAAAGGCTCAAACAAACTTTCAAGATTTTAATAGATACGGAAATGTAAACACCAATGAGGCTATTATAGCAACTAAGAGAGACAATAAAATCAAAGAGAACAAAGAATAAAGTGACAAGAAATGACCATCCAGCTCAGTTGGTATAACACAATGTTCTTAACCTTGAAGTCGTGGGATCGAGTCTCATGAAGGACATTTTATAATTTGAAGGTCTCCTACGAAAGCTGCTCTTAACTTAGTGTCGGGGGCATTCTACTATCTTATCTCCCCCTTACCTCATTACATATGGGAACAAGAGACAATCATTCTCATTCTATTACTCTTTAAGAGAATGAGAATGAATGTAATGAATTACAAGTAAGGTGAAAAATCTCTATTTATAGTTGAACTCGTATAATAAATGACTTGGATCAATTTATAAATATAATTAATATGTGTTTACATCATATAAGATACTCGAAATCACATCAAATCATATATATTAACATCAATTAGGATAAAAATTTTATGGATAAGTGTTTACATTGAATATGATAAAGTTTATCTACAATCTTTCTTGGTTTGATATCATTTGTCTTTTCCACAAAGTTAATGTGAACATATATTGTCTAACATTCTTCAGTGATGAATCGAGTGTGGTGATCTTCGTAAGCCTGATACCCTACACATAATTTCTTTGACAAATACTTGCGCACACATCCCAGACCTAAATTAACGGGTCGTGACAAATTTTTATTAAATATATTTTACTCAAATTTGAGAACATTTCGGTTTCAAATTTTTTTAAACTAGAGTCGAACTTTAATTTTTTATTTCAAATCGAATTTAATAAGTTTAAACTCATGAATTTTCAAATTGAATCGAACTCCCCTTTATATTTTTCAAATCAAATTGAATTCAATAATATTCAAATTCAATACATCTTACTTACAGCCCCAAGTAAACCTATACTCAAAAGAAACACGTAAATTCTCTAAATTTACACAAAAATAGAAGGGTACGACGTAGTGCTTACCTAAGCTTGGAGTTGGATGTGTTAAAGTCACCGTCAGTGGCCATGTGAGGGAATGGACTGACATATATAGTCTATCCAATATTGTTAAAATATGATTTGCTTTCTTTTCTTCGATTTGGGATGATGAGTTGAACCTCCACTGCAGTCACGGCTCCAAATTGGTGGTTCCCTCCACCTGTTCTGTTTCACTTCGTTATAAATCTTTACCTACCTTCGTCGTTTTCACTCTCAAAACAAAGCAGCAGGAGCTAAGACCACCTTCGTGAAGGCTATTTACAAATGAAAATTTTCGATAGGAAGATTCCTTTTTCACATCACACTTCACTTACCTATTCTCAAAACTTCTATGGACCTTAAAACTTACATAGAATTGCCAGACGGGGAAAGATGAATGTTATTTGGGGAAGAAGAACAAGGAATGAATAACGAATTGGGGTAACGATCCTGATCATCATATTATACATAGACTTGATATGATAATTTTCAGATGACTGCTTGCCATAGTTCATGCATTGTAGTAAGTTATATTCACCGTCTGATGAGAAAAGGATTGTATTTATTCATTGGTCTAGGTAAAAAGGTCCATCGATATTATCGTCGTTTCCCATTTAATCGGGGAAGAATGAACCATTTTAGCTTGTCTTCATAGTCTGGTTAGTGCTGATGAAGACAAGCTAAAAGAACATACCGATATTACAGTTCTTATGCTCTCCTAACTCACTGGCCCAAGAATCGTGTTGTGCATTAGTTTTGATTGATAAAAGAACAGAACATGAGAGCCCTCTCCATATAATGATGAAATTGTTATTTGTTGATTTTCGCTTAGACAAACCTTAATTGTATGTTTTGCTCTTTAACCAGAATGCTCCATGTGACCCAAACGTGAACCACTATGAAACTTGAATTTGTTCATTGCCAGCCACTTGAATTTCAATCCCTATATTCAACAGTATATTAGAATCTTGTTAAATTTTCCTGAATGCTAACATGCCTTACATCTTGCGTCATTCATGTTTCGGCCAGTTTTCTGTCTCCATCTTTGAAGCCTTCCACAGCTGGGTATTGGTCCTTTTTCTTCGTTTCATGTGGGATGAAGTTGAAGCTCTCAACTATGTGGGGAATGCTACGAAACTCATTTGTAAAGGCACCCAAAGAAGCATTAAGAGACACGTACTGAATGGTTAGGGATACCAATGATGGCCTTATTATATAAAAGCTCAAAAGGCCTACCAAGAAATCAATTACTCACTTCATACACCTAGGTGAGGACTGAAATCCTGAATCCAAAAATTTCAGGGAAATGGAACTCAAAAACCTATGGAGTGGTCCTAACGACTTAGGGTGATTTATTCCCTTTCGGTGACTTGAATTCGAACAGCGGTGTCGGTAGGGGTGAGGCAAAATCTGAGTAGTATAAGACATTCAAAAACAATATTAGCCAAATGAAAAGAAACCTATGTCTTTAATTCAAATTTCAAAAGACCAACAAACACATCTTGATAAACAATTGAAATATTGTGAATCTCTAACTGGCAATCTGTAAAGTGCCATAAAGAATAGAGAATCGCCTGAGGAGAAATAAGTACCAGAAGGAATTATGTGCAACTACTAAGCTATTAACTATGATAAACCAGCATTCTCTGAATCAATTCTATCAAATTGTTTCGAGATAGTGTTTTCATAACCCATCAAGATGGCAATCCATGATCTGAGAGAGAGTCTCAAGAAACGCAGCTTCACTTGTGCCTGGAAGTACGGAATCCTGTGCTTCTTGGATCATTTGCTCAATTACAGATTCCTCCTTCAAATTCTCCCTGCACATTATACTTCCAATTGCAAAGGGTGTGAGTCCTCTATCTGCACCCTTTTTGAGCAGCATGGTGGAAATGCGGAGTGTGCGTGCACATTTTGGTGACATATTCCATCCAAGGAATTTCAGAAGGGCAATATCATCTTCAGCGTCCAGTGATTTTATATAATCAATTGTCTCAGGAGACTATGGTTTGCGAACTTGAGGCCAATACAGCCACTCAAATGTGCAATCTTCAAACTATAGAAATAAAAACAGAAAATATTATTAGGGATAGTTTTCAGGTCACAGCAAAAGCAATATGTAAAAGATAATCCAGAAAAGACCCAAAATGTGCAATCTCAAACTATAGAAACAGAAAATATGATTAGTGTTTAGGCTTCAAGACACAAAAGCAACATGTAAGATAATATAAGAGCCAAAAATCGGAAAGTAGTGAAACCAAAATGACTGTGCAACGATACTCGTAAGCACCATACAAGACAAAAAACACCCCCATAAAATTTAGGCACAGAATCACACTGGCAACAGCACTGAGCTTGCAAGATAGGTTAGTGAATCATGATTATCATAGGTTAGTGAATCATGATTATCATCATTTTAGCAGAGCATAGTAGAGACTCCTGCCTCAGTAACATTGAATACAAGTTTTCAAGTTAAATTCACAGTTGCATTCAACCATCCTGAGCAAGTGTGTAACATTTAGTCTAGAGGAAGAACCTAGAAACAATAAAATAACAAAAGGTATGGATAACTAGTTAAAAAGACAAAAACAAAGAATGGTAACATGCATGAGGTAGCAGGAAATTAAGAATCATCAGGGGGCTAACTTACGCTTTCAGGCAAGCAATAGCCATGATCGATGGGAATCAGCAATGTCTGCCCGTCTCTATCTTGGCTCAATAAAATATTTCCAGCATGCCTATCAGCATTTGCCAATCTTATATCCAACACACAGATTTTATGTACTTGCTCGACTGGAAAGGACCCAGGACCTATATCCTCACAACTTCCATTGTTTTTCACAAACATCTGCAATGATCCAATCTTGACTGTTGCCAAACCATCTGGGTTGTTAAACCCAGCATGCAAACACTTGATTAGAGCAGTAGGAGTGACCCCAGCAAAACCCTTCTCATCACCATATAACCTGCATTGTCCTTTCTTAGGGTGATCCAAAATATAAGCCGCGACTTCCCTGAATGCTCCTTCTCCAACTCGCGTACCCTTTTTCAACCCTTCACCATCTGATGACACCGGTAATTGTCGAGGATTATTTACAGCTAAAGGCTCTTCATCAATTGGCTTAAAAACAGAAACAAATTGTTGGCCTGTTGAATCTTGCATGAAATAAACTCCTCCAGTCCCCTCTAGGGATGGCAATATGACCCGAACCCGACGGGAAACCCGAAACCCGGTCAAGTTCGGGTCGAATGATAACGGGTCGGGTTCGGGGATATTTTTCGGGGATTTGTTCGGGTCGGTTCGGGTTCGGGGCAAGGTATCCCCGCCCTGCCCCGATTATATATATATATAATATTTTATATTTTTTATATTAATTATATATATAATATTTTATATATTTTATATTAATTATATATAAAATATTTTCGGGTCGGCTTCGGGGACGGGGCAAAAAAAAACCCCGACGGGGTGCTCCGATAAAAAGCCCGTCGAGGATCGGGTCGGGGTCGGGGACGGGGATTCATTTCGGGTTCGGAGACGGGGCGAGCAAAACCCGCCCCGAACCCGACCCGCCATTCCTAGTCCCCTCCACAGACCTAATTGGAATTTTCCCACTGTACAATCCATCGTAGGTGGAGTTAATCATATCCACAATGACTGGAGGTAGTTCAAATTCAGGATTAACAATAACAGGCTCAAATACAAAATCACTATTGGGGGGCTTCATTGGTTCAACCTCTTTATCAGCTTCATATCTTCTAGGATGGTTCTCTTTGTCACCAACATCACAATCTTGCTTGTGTTTCAATTCTGGTGCCACAACGGACAACTCGAAATTCTTAGCAATAGGCTTAGCCCTAACTTTGGCAGATTTACGGACCAATAAATGCAACACAGCATTGTTGTTCTTACATACATCATCAATAAGCCTCTGATCCTCTAATTGCTCCCCATCACAAACAACTTCTTGCTCATCAAGATCAGAAAAATGTTTCTCCCTCTCGGCAATCTGCTTCTTCACATAACCAACATCACGCCCTCTTTCAACATGAAAGGTAAATTCTTTTCCAGCCGTAGTCTTGACGTTAATGACCTGAAGATCAGAAAGCCTAAGAACCAAGTGTAGAACATTTCCATCGTTCACTCCGTAGTCACGGACAAGTGAAATTCTCCGTGCCAGCTCCCGGCCTCCGCAAACCAACTTCTGATTCTTCACAACAAAACCTTTATAGGATTGAATGCGTAGCTTCAAGGATTCAATAGAATCCGATTCCAAAACTCGCATAGGAACCATGGATTCGGAAAGGGCCAAGTATATCCAAATTGATTCGTTTTCACAAAGACCCCAGTCAGGATACAAGTGATCAGGAGGGATCAAAGGTTCTTTTCGAACCGGAACAACAGCAAGACCAGCCGACGACATCGTTGACGGTGAAAACTTGACTCTAAAAAGAATGCTAAAATCTTAAGACTACGCTGTACAAAATCTACAATAGTTTTCCCCACATTCCTTTACAACCTAACCAGTTCTATACAAGCGAGAATCCGAAAAAAATTGAAACCATAGGATTCAGAAGCGAATCCCACGGCTCAATTCATCTCGATTTGCAAGGCTAGAGATTAGATATTTCGGAGCTGTTAAAAGTGAGGACGATGGTTCTTACCGGAAGAAAGGAGCAACGAGAGGATGAAGCAAGAAAGTGAAGCTTGAAATTCAAAGGTCAAATTCAGGAAATTTCTTCTGAGCCGATGGTTTGGGGAGAGAGGAAATGGGATTGGAGAAGAGAGACACGTGCGTAGCCGTCGTCGTTTTATAGTTAAAACTTGTACTACAATTGACCAATTTTTATACGTATAGATTTCATTTTTGAGTATGTCTTTTGGTACAAGGCAATACAGCTTTTGGTATCTCGGGCTCCATCTATCATATTCTTGGAGTAGCTTCCAAGTTTTGTTATCTGATCTGTATATTCCCTTTGTATAATTACCGATTACAATTATTTCATAATTAAAAATCAATTTACCTAAATTTATTTCTGAAAACTTTTAATAATGTCTAATTGTTTGATTTATTAACCCGTATCACTATAATTAAATATTTTTTTCACATATTGATAACTTTTTTTTATTTTAATTTCTTATGATGTTATAAAAGTATAGTTTACAAAATGTGATGTTGAAATTGTGGATGGAAAATTTCAGGATAAAGTATTTAAATGGCTTGCTGTTTATTAAAAGTTACAAAATAATTTTTAAGTTATAATATGTTATTTTGTTGAGTCTCCCGACTATTAAAAGTTGTAAAATTATCACTCGACTATTCCTATTTTCAAATTTATCATTCTTCGTTAAAAAATTCGATGACAGTTGATCTCAGAATCTCAAACGATTATCATATCTCAATTATCATGTTAAAGTCCAACTCGGACGACTGTCAATCTTTTATCGAAAAAAGATGAGTTTGAAACATATAAGTAGTCGATTAATCATTTTATAACTTTTAACAGTTAAGGGATTTAATAAAACATCATATAAACAAATGATTATTTTATAATTTTTTAATAATTAAAGAACTCAACAAAATAACGTCTTATAATAAAAAATCATTTATGTACTTTACCAAAAATGTTTCATTCATAACTAAAAAATTTAAATATTAAAATATGTTCAATTTCGTGTCTTTTTACACAATATATCAAAAATAATATCGAACAAATTAAATTCAATCACCAAATAGGGGAGAATTTTGAATTCAAATGTTTTGTTGCCGTCCCAGTCTAAGTTTTCGGGTGAAGATAAACAAAAGCTGGTCAAGATTCAAAGGAAGGTACATTTAGAATACAAAATCTATATAATAAAGTTCCAAAATGTGCCATCCAAGTCACGTTTTGTTCTGATATTTCAAATATTAAAATTAATTAAGGAGTTGCAATTTGACATTTGAAATACTACTTTAATTTTTATAAAAATGAAAGAAATTTTTAATTAGATATTTTGCAAAGCCATAGTAATACACCTTACAATTTAGCTATAAAAAAAGGGCAGATCTTTTGGGTTTAGGCTTTGATTCCTATTATCATTCTTATTTTACCTTAAAACCAGGGATATTAGAGATGACACCGGAACTAGAATCAATTTAGGTTTATATAGAACAATAGACTCATCAAGCCATAGAAACTGAGCCAGGGTTTACAATACCAAAACGCTGTCCGCTATGATATGACCAAAAATTACCTGCAGAAGCATTTTCTAGGTTGCAACCAAGCAACCTTGACAGCATATACAAGCTACTACAATGCCAAGCATAGCTCCAGCAAAGACCTGTGATGGCGTGTGGCCGAGGAGTTCCTTGAGCTTTCTTTGACTGATCGGGTGCCCTTGAAATAGGTCCTCTAGGATCATATTAAGAACCTACAACCGGGAAGACAAAACCATTCAACGATCCCAATACAAGTTAAATGGCAACTCTCAAGGCAAGCTACTACAAGAATTTTTGGGATGTTGCATATAATTATTGGAGCATGAAGTAGCATTCAAGCTAATGTCATATTTGTGCCGGATGAACAAAGAAAAAAGCCGAATTTGGGCAGATATATCTAGGCAATGCAGACTTGTGAAAAACAAGCTTGCCTACTTTTTCATGACAGAAGAAAGGGAAATACATTCATATTCTTCATAGGACACTAATATTTGACAGATAGGTCATGACCACTTTAAGTTGAAGAAGGATAGTGATGATGTCCACCATATTTATTTCATTGATTCAGATTCAATCGGCAGTTGAAAAAAGTTGTTAAAATGTTAAATGCGTACTTGATAATAGGCAGCATCCCTTGTCCGGTGATTTACTTAAATAAGAATGAAACCTCATTATTTGATATTAATTCTTTAATGCTAAAGAAAACCAATACATGCAGTTTGAACCTAACTAAGTTGATGATGGGAGGGCCTCCCCAACTTTTCTGGTTCGATTACTCTTTAAGTTACTATCAGTAATGAAATTAGACAAATTAAACCTTAATCCCCATCTTTTTGGTTTACATACTTCTCAGGTCCCTGTCAGTTTGAAATTAAGTAATTTGCTCCCCCCCAAATGGTTTCATACTCGTTCCATCCTTGGCGACAACATCTTCGGTTGTCCAATCATTGAAGGAATTCACTCCAACGGTTCCACTTCAAAGCTCATAAAACAGCATAGTGAATCAAATTCAAAGCTCCAGTCATCCGTGGGGAAAACTAAAGTAAGAAATTCACTAAAAGAAGCTTAGGATGTGTAGCTAGTACTGCTCAATATACTAGCCCCCAAAACCTAGATTTCTGAGAACGGAAATATGATATACCGATGGGAATATTAGTACCCAGAATTTATGCATGCACAGGTACTCGAACTAACCATCTATAGCCAAATTCAGACTTTAAGCCACAAATTAAGTTTATTTTTTTAGTTCTGAAGAGATTAGCATTTGAATGATTCTAATCTCAAAGTTTCAAAGCATTTCAAGCCTCTCTCTCTCCACACTGAGTAAAATAAAAATCTTGGTGTTTGTCATTAATATCTATGTCCAAAGCCGACCCACCCTCCCAGTCCTCTTTTCCTTGCTCTAAGCAACACAGGTCTAAGGTTCAGTTACAAATCTAATTTCGCAATTCGAAATTTATAATACAACTTCCTAAAAATTAATACAGCTCACCATAAAATTGTGTGTCTAAATACTCCTACTAGACAATGCAACATTATCAACAAACACAACTCAATTTTACAAGCACTAGGAAGATTCATACAAAACTCAAAATCTTCAAAGTAAGAAACAGAACAAAAGAGAAAAATGTTGCTTCTAAGTTCTTACCGCAGCTTGCATCCCGGCATGCCTTCTAACTCCAATCGCGTCGTACATAACAATCAAACTAAACCCCAAACAAACAGGAAACAGCGAGTCGGCTACTCCATGACAAATGGCCACCGACGTCGTCAAAGCAGTACACAAAGCCGAATGCGAAGACGGCATCCCACCAGAAGCAAACAAAATCCGGAAATCCCATTTCCTCTCTACAAAGAAATTTAAAAACACCTTCATCGATTGTGCAATAAACCATGCAAACAAACCGGAAACAAAAGTGGGATTCGCCGCCAATGTCGCCACAAACGGACTAATCCGAACTCTAGCGCTGGCCGTGACACTTAATAAAGCCACTCCAAAACCTCCACTTTGCAAGTAATTCCCGTTGTATTGCTCTAAAATTTCCTCCGATTCCGTATCGCAATCGTGTAAACTTGAAGCCCATTTTTGCGTACGCGAAAAGGCCAAGCCTCTGATGCTTTTCAAAATCGGGACTAAAACCAATAAGGGATTAACCGAAACGCTTCGGTTTTTACATTTGGGAGATGGGTTTATGGAATTGGAAGGAGATTTAAAAGAGAAAGAAACAGGGAAAACTCTGGATTTTGTCTTGGGGCTGTCTGGAATGAAACAGTAAGTGTTCAATGGGGGTATTAAAGTGACAGAGCCCATTAGAAAAGCTAGTTTTTATTCAGTCCGCATTTGAGAGGGAGAGAGAAAGGAAACAGAGGAGAGATTTTCATGGGTGCTTCACTCGGGAGAGACTAGGAGAATTGAGAATGAAATGAATTAACTTTTTCGTTTCTACAAGAGACTACTAGATTAGATGGATGGAAACGTGTGGAGGAGAAGAGCCATTGGTCTTGGTTTATTTTAACGAATATGCAACTCTATGCTCTTACGTTTGTTCCCAGCCGCGACGCAAAGAATATGCTAGTAGATTAAGGTTTGTTTGTTTATTTCAGAATGATTAAATATTGAATGATTTAATAGTTTGAATGATTCAGAGGCTATGTATGAATTAACTCTGAATGTGATATGTTGTTTGATAATAACTCTCAATCATCCAGAATGTATTTTAATGCTGAATCATTCAACACTATTTTGCTGAATTATTCAGCACAATCTTCATTCAGATGTTAGAAACAAACAAGCTGAATGTTGAACGATTCAATATTCAACGCTGAATAATTTCATTCAAAACCAAACAAATAACCCCTAACTTTTGTTTTGGGTAGACTATATATTTTTTATCATCCATTTATTATTTAATTTTTATTTTAACCATTCAAGTATTATTTTTTTAAAATCATATTTTATATTATATTTTGGTCATATGTAATTAAAAAATTAATTTTTACATGATATTTTTAATTATTTTTAATATTGATGTGATATAATATTATGGTGACATATCAACATTAATATTAATATTTTTACAACTAATAAATTAAATATAATCAAATAATAGGTGAGACGTAGATATACTTTATATATATATATATATATATATATATATATATAGTTAAGTTATTAAAATAGAAACTAAGTAATAGGTTAGTGACCAAACATGTAATTTACTCTTTTATTCAATGAATTAAGTAATTTAATCATTTAAATAAAATTTAGTTTTAGTAAGTTTATAGGATAGAATTATAAAAATAATACATTTTTAATCAAATATTTAATATCATTATTTTTTAAAAATTTTAATCAAATTTTTAATATCATTATTTTTAAAATATTTACAATTAATTAATGTCCATAAAAAATTAAGGGTAAATTATACAGTGATCACTCTACTATTGCACCTTTTCAATTTGACCATCAATGTTTCAATTTCATCAATCATATCACTCAAGTATTTAAATACTTCAATCGGTCACTAGACATTTATATTTAACGGAGATAATGATGCAATAATTAATAAAATTGACATAATTATACATTTGATCCTTAATACATACATATTTTATATATATTCTATTAATAGTTTAGTGATCAACCCCTGTAGTTTACCCAAAAATTAATTAACGACTATGTCCGATTTTTTCCCGGTTCCTTCGCCAACCCAAATTTCTCGATTCCTCTGCCTGCATCTTTGATTTCAAAAATTTCTAAATCAAAGCAAACGAATTCGTTTTCTTCAAGAAAAAGAGCACCAGATTCCGAGTCGACACCTTAATTCGTCTTCGTCTTCTTCTTCTTTTTTAACTCGGTTTCTACAAAATGGAGAATTTGATATCGTTGGTGAATAAGCTACAGAGAGCGTGTACGGCGCTTGGTGACCATGGAGACGAAAGCGCATTGCCTACCCTTTGGGATTCCTTGCCTGCCATCGCCGTCGTCGGTGGCCAAGTACGGGCTTCATCCTTATAACAATAGTAATATGTTTTTTATTATCATTTCAATGTGTCATTTCCTTTTTCTGAATAATTATTTTCTTGTCTTTCTCCGATTTGCTGCGTTTAATTTGCCGTTTGATTCTACGTTATTTTGACCAAAAATTATAATTCCTCTCCTTAAAATGCAACGATGATCTTCTTGGTTATGCTTTCATTTCCGAATTTGAAGTTTGAATCTATTGAAATTAGTCTAATTAATATGGTTTATTGATGATTCATCTTTTTGTTGTTGTTTTCATAACAAGTTTTTGATTTTATACTTCGAATAATTCAATGGATGTAGAGTTCTGGAAAATCATCTGTGCTGGAAAGTATCGTTGGAAAAGATTTTTTACCTCGTGGAGCAGGTAAACTTTTTCTTGTTACTTTTTACCTCATCTATGAATTTGTAAAAACGTGGATATGATGAAAAAAAAAATCATGTTTGTAGGGATTGTTACTAGGCGGCCTCTTGTATTGCAACTTCATAGGGTCAACGAAGGAAAAGAATATGCAGAATTTATGCATCTTCCAAAAAAGAGATTCACCGATTTCGGTATGCTTTCTGTTAGAGTACAACTTTCATTAGAAATTTCTTTTCTAGAATTTATTAGTTCTAATTAACTACGTAGCATTTTCATTCTCATCTTCTTATGTTAATCCAATCACTGTGAATTTATTTTAATGATATGTTCTTGAGTTAATTTGTTCAGTTTCTTTTAGTTGCTTATATCTTTTGCTTAATCTTGAACGCTAAGCTCATACACACTTCATGCAGCTGCTGTTAGGCAGGAGATTTCTGATGAGACTGATCGGGAAACTGGTCGCAGCAAACAAATCTCTACTGTCCCAATCCATCTCAGTATCTACTCCCCTAATGGTGAGAAAGAGTGGTGGTCAAGTTTAATTCCTTTTCATAAATAGAAGAAGGCTTTAACAGGTATTTTAGCCCTAAACTTTTTTATATTTTAAAAAAATTAACGATCGAGAGTTTATGATATAACATGTGAGTTTAATTATTTTTAAAAAAAATTGAGTTTTTTTAATCTTTAATAAAAATTTTAAAATATAAAAAATAATGAAATTTAAAACTTAAAAAAATAAAATATTTGAAAAGCATTTAAAATATTTAAAAATCAAAATATTATTAAAAGTCAATTTAAAAAAAATAAAAAAATACTAAAAATTATATATATATATATATATATATTTAAAAATTATAAAAATTATAAAAAGTATTGGAAATTATAAAAATTAAAAATGTTTAAAAATACTAAAATATTAAAAATTTCAAATGCATTATTGAACAAATATTTGACAATTTATTAATAACAGAAGTTTATCATCTTTTCCTGATTTTTTTTAATAAATTTAATCTTGTATTAGAGTAACAATGGTTCATGAGATTCTTTCTTATTGTTTAGAACTTGTGGAGCTTTGTTTGCACCATGTTGATTCTCATTAATATTTTGTAGACTTTAAATTTGATTTTTAGAAGCAATAGACATAACAAGAGTTTCTCCATGGTTGTTTAGTCTATTATGATTTTTTATTGTTTAGCTGATTTGGATTTTTAATAGTTTAAAATTTATTATTTTATAACTTTTGATATTTTGATATTTTATTTATTTATTTTTGAATTTTCACAATGTATATATTTGTAATAATTTTAAAATTTTAACAATTTTTAATTTCTAATAATATCTTAATTTTAATTTTTTAAAGATTAAATAAGTCATCGAACTTTCTAAAATATTAGTTAAACCCATGGTCATATCATCATTCATAGGTGGATTGACACATCAACATTGTTAACAACCACGTCAATATATAGAAGGGCTAACCACGAATTCCGTTGATTAAAAAGCTTAATTGATATATTTTTTAAGTTTGAGGCTCGGTTAGATACGTTTTTCAAAGAGGGATTTAATTGTTTTTTTAAGAAAGTTTAAGGGCTAAAATACCAGTTAAGCCTAAAATAAACCACAAAGTTGTTTACACTGATATTTGCCTTTCAATTGTTGGTATTTCTCTTTGAATTGAAAATGAGCCTAAAATAAACCACAAAGTTAGAGGCTTCAGTTCATCTGTTTTATTTCTCTTGAATAATCGCCGCCATCTTTTGAACTTCAAAACTGTTGGCTGCCGGTGCATGCCTTGTATGTATTCTTTTACTTATTATTTTGCTTTAATACCTTCGCAGTGGTGAACTTAACACTAATTGATCTCCCTGGACTAACAAAAGTTGCAATTGGTTAGTGTCTCACCTTTTGCATGTTTGTTTATGTTGTCATATTCTTGTCAGCTTATATGGTAATCGACCTGTGATGTAGAGGGACAATCTGAAACAATTGTTCAGGACATCGAGAACATGGTTCGGTCATATATTGAAAAGGTAAATAGAGGCAGAAGTGGATAGATAGGTTCCTGCTTATTCTTTGTACACTAAACCTATAATTGAAAATTGTATTAATCATCTGATTCTTCTGTCCAACTTTTTGTTCATAAACATGCAATTGTTTTATGAAGTTGATCGAGTTCAACCTGAAATATCATTTGTTTTATTACTTTTTAATGTATACAAGTATATATTTTCTCAAAAAATGAAGAAAATGAAAATTATGCTATACTTGTTTCTCCTTGCAGCCCAACTGTATCATACTGGCAATATCTCCTGCCAATCAGGATCTTGCCACTTCGGATGCAATAAAGATCGCACGTGAGGTTGACCCAAAAGGTATAGATTTGGTCAATATTCTTTCATGTATCCAATAGCAAACATTGTTTTCTTTCAGAAAGTGGATAGTAGAAAGAAATCAACTTGCCAGAAAAAGAAATAGTTGAAAGAAGGGAGGTAAAACAAAATAAATAGGCTTAACAGCTGCTCTTCAACTAGTACAGAGAAGTTGTATGAGGTGAATATGGAAATGGAAAAACTGGGTGGAAGACATTGCCAGTTACAGAAATGAACTCCCTTCTCTTTGCTTGTCAGACAGTTTTCTTTAGCTTCGCCTTGCTTTCGTTGCCTGTTAACTGTGAATTTTCAACTACTGGTTCTGTGCTATAACAAGCATGAATAGCAGTAATTGACATTTAGCAGCTATTATTCTACATAAAACACATTTTTTGGTAAGGATCCTGCTTAGAGGAAAGAAAACAATGTGTGGGGAATTGTGATGCAACTGATAAAGGGAGAATACCTATTGTTATGGCAGCATTTGTTGGGTTTTATTAGATAGTTCGATACTTTTCACTTTGTCTGGGAGGATAACTGCCTTCTGGCCGGAGAAATAGATTGTTTATTGATATAGACTATCCATCATATCCAGCATTAAAGCTTTTTTTTAATAATTTATAAGATGATTATTTCCTAGTTTTCCATTTAACTTGCATCAAATTCATGTTGGTTGATTGTCAAAAATCAGGAGACAGGACATTTGGGGTTTTAACGAAGATTGATCTGATGGACCAGGGTACCGATGCTGTTGATGTAAGTTCTTTTTTTCTTCCAATGGTTGATATAGCTGACATTGTATAATATAATATAATATAATACTAAGAGCAGCTATAAGATATTATCTTTTATGAGAGTGTTTTTGAACTTATTATTCGTGTCAATATGTTTGTGCGATTTGTTGCCAATAATAATATATTCAGTTCACTGCATTGACTATTTTTTCTTGTAACATTTTGGGATTTTAGATTCTAGAAGGAAAAGCATACAAGCTACAGTTTTCATGGATTGGTGTTGTTAATCGCTCTCAAGCTGACATTAATAAGAGTGTTGATATGATTGCTGCTCGGCGCAGAGAGCGAGACTATTTTCAAAATAGTTCGGAGTATACTCACCTTGCCCACAGGATGGGTTCTGAGCACTTAGGAAAGGTGCTTTCTAAGGTATGCTAATGTTATTTTCTTGGAATCTATGTAAATAGATTTGTATGATGCGTTTGAATCCATTTTGATGCATAGAAAGAGTTTTGTTCTTCAATAGTTAAATTCAAGGGTTTATGGATTCTTACTACTGAGTTTGGTTAAATTTGCAGCATTTGGAAACTGTGATAAAGTCTCGATTACCGGGCCTCCAGTCTCTTATCAACAAGACTATTATGGAACTGGAGGGAGAATTGAACCATCTTGGGAAGCCTATTGCTACTGATGCCGGAGTAAGGGTTTCTGTTCATTTCCTTTCAAAATTTCTGAGCTCAATTTATTCTGGAAGAAGACTTTTATACAAGTGGTTTTTCTACTACTTAATTATCAGACTTTGATAGGCCTTGTGATACTTAGACGATGCATGATGTTCACAGGTTTTTTTCTTTCTTTCTGCAGGGGAAGCTGTATACAACAATGGAAATCTGTCGGGCTTTTGATCAAAACTTCAGAGAACATCTTGATGGCGTGTATGTTTCTATTTAGTAGTGTGCTCTATCAATTTGTTAACCTATTTAATGTGCCTTCGGTATTGTCAATGTTCACAGACGCGCTGGAGGTGAAAAAATATATGGTGTATTCGATAATCAACTCCCTGCTGCTTTGAAGAGATTGCACTTCGATAAACATCTTTCAATTGAAAATATACGCAAGTTAATTACAGAAGCTGATGGATACCAGCCACATCTTATAGCCCCTGAGCAAGGGTATCGCCGTCTTATCGAATCTTGCTTAGTGTCTATCAGAGGTCCTGCTGAAGCAGCTGTTGATGGGGTACTTCTATATCAATCATCAACTCTGAACTTGTTGTGGCGTGTGGTTTGATTCATGATTCAATTTCAGGTTCATGCTATTCTAAAAGGTATTGTTCAGAGGGCTTTATCCGAGACACCGGTAAGTTCCTGGTCATGATTTTTGGCACGCATTATAACATTTTGTTAGTTACTTTAGGTTATTTTTGTTTGTATGTAGGAACTAAAGCAGTACCCAACTTTGAGAGTGGAAGTAGGGAATGCTGCAATTGAATCACTGGAAAGAATGAGGGAAGAAAGCAAGAGAGCAACTCTAAAGCTAGTTGATATGGAATGTGGTTATCTGACGGTTGAATTCTTCCGGAAACTTCCTCAAGATGGTGAGAAGGGTGGAAATCCAACACATTCACTCTTAGATCGATATAACGAGGCCTATCTTAGACGAGTTGGTAAGTACCAGATGGCACAAACGCTGAACTGTTGGGTTATGCATATTGTCTTTGACGAGTTGGTAAGTACTACATGACAAAAACACTCCAACATAACTTTTAAAAAGTAAATATTAAAAATTTTATAATACGATTGCTCTAACACCTCTTGGTCCATTCCTACAAATAGTTAATGGTTGGTTTATGCAGGGGCGTATTTAGGCCTAGGCCTACTTGGGCCATGGCCCACCCCATGCCAAAAATGGGTAAATTATTTATTTAGTCACTCATTTATTATTTAGTTTTTATTTTGGTCACCCAACTATTATTTATTTTAAATCACATTTAATGTTACATTTTGGTTATGTTTTAGTCACTCGTTTGTAAAAAATTAGCAACGATGTTGACGTATCATCATAAGATAATGTCACGTCAGGATTGAAAAAAAAAATTAAAAAAGGTCATATTAACATATTGTTATTTTTTTAACGGTTACTGATCAAACCAAAACCAAAATGTAAGGTTAAGTATGCTTTTGAAAAAGTGACCAAAATATAAATTAAATAATAGTTGGGTGGCCAAATAGTTAATTTACCCTAAACAAAAATATGCATGAATTATGTTAAAAAAATTATATTGGTCCAACTAATATATATTTTCTAGATTTAATCTAAATATATATTTTTAAATTAAAAGTATAAATGAATCATTTTAAATAAAATTATTGTTATATTTATATTGGCTTAGCTTATGCATATTGTCGTAGAGGTAGTCCTATTCATTGGCAATCGGATTGATATTTGATCGAGTTTTATAATTTTCATTTTAGTTCATCATGTTAATTCTGCAAATTTGATGGTTAAAAACAGGCAGCAATGTTCTGCAATATGTGAATATGACTTGTGCAAATTTGAGAAACTCGATTCCCAAGTCAATTGTTTATTGTCAAGTTCGTGAGGCCAAACGCAGCTTGCTTGACTACTTCTTCACCGAATTGGGCAGGAAAGAGGTACGTATATATTATGGTAAATATTTGCAGTTTGCTTGCCAAATCAATCAACTTTGCAATTGCCATATTTGCAGGCGAGGCAATTGAGTAAGTTACTGGACGAGGATCCGGCAGTTGTGCAGCGTCGTACCAACCTTGCAAAGCGTCTCGAATTATACAGGAGCGCTCAACACGAGATCGAAGCTGTTGCTTGGTCCAAGTAGTTGAGAATGAGATTTGGACTATTTTATTTTTCTATTTCTTCGCTTCCATTGGGAGATGAGTTGAGTTGAGTTGAGATTATCCATAGAATTAAGTTATTTGGAGACTCTATATTTTTTTTTATTAATTATAACGTTTTATGTTTGATAAATAATTAAAAACTTTATGCAATTAGAATTTGAATTCTAATCTATATATATGTGAAGAAATGGTTTTATAATATCAGATTAGTAAACCAATTATTTATTCAGACTCTTATTAATTTTTAAAAAGATAATTAATTATTATTTTCTTAAAAGCAAATTGAATTGAATTTAGAGTTTAAAATTTGATTTGAAATTCCTCTAATGCTTTAATGGACTAAAGTAGAGTAATATTGTTGCTAAAAGGTAGGATACCTCAAATATTATTTAGAGATTTTGGACATTTTCTGTAATACCCTCAAAATTGTAACATAAATTTAGCGATTTATATGAAAATTGTCGTCTCTTCTGGACCACTTTATCTTAAATTTCTCTTAATTTTAAATAAAAATCGTCCATCAAGGTGACAATTTTTTCTTTCTATTTTGTTTAATTAAGGGGCCAATGGATGAAAAGAAAAGGAGGTGACTAATATGAAAGAAATGAAAAAGGGCTAAAATGTAAAATTAATAACTTTAGTCATAAGATTTCATGAACCTTATACTGTTTAAATATTAATTTTCAAGTATTTAAATATAAACTTTTAAATACATATTTGTTGAGTGGTTGAAGATAAGACTCGTAAACACATGTCAAAAATCATTTTGGCTTTTTTTTCTTTCTTTCTTATATTTTGGCATCTTTTATGCCTTTTTTTTCACTTTGGCTTGTCAATTAAAAAAGACTTAATATAAAAATAAGTATTTAAATTATATCATTTTTCTCATTTAAATGCTTAAACTATTTTTCGATCAATCTAGATGTCTAACGTTATAGATGTTACCATTTTAAGTACCTTGGTTGTAACGCCTGTTAAAAATTTTCGTTAAATGACATGTGTTGCAAGGTAATTTCAAAAAATTTATTTTGAAAAATTACAAAAGTATTATTAATAAAATATCATTAATTAAAAAAAAACCTCCATTTTTTCAAATTATAAAAAAATCTTGAAATCCTAAAGTCCCTTATTCAAACCCCATACAAACCGTTGTCGACAATCACCGGCCGTCTTTGTCATCTTCAAACGGTCATCCACCCATTGTCAGACCTTTACTACCGACCATCCCTGTTGTTGTCGTCACAATCCCCATAAATCCATAAATTCTTAAACTTAAATTCCTAATCCTAATCTCCAAATTTATAAGAGAAAATCGCCTCAGTGACCAAAAATGCCTTATAATATATGATTTTAACCAACTTTTTCCGGATTTGCCAAAATGACCAACAAAATCGCAATGCGATCGCTAATTCGCAACGCGATCTCCATTATCGCAAATTCGCGTTGCATTTCGCGTTGCGATAGTTGGAAATCGCGTTGCGATGGTCTACAGTGTCGTTGCGATTTTCCCAATTCGCAATGCGAATAAGTAAATCGCAACGCGAATTGGGAAAATCGCAATGCGATACTGACTATCGCAATGCGATACTGACTATCGCAATGCGATACTTACTATCGCAATGCGATAATACAAAATCGCAACAAGATACTGACTTTCGCAACGCGATTCTGACTTTCGCAACTCGATTTACATAGCGCCATTCGTATTAACGCGTATTTTTTTTTCAAATTCCAAACACGAATTTTTTCTTAATAAATCGGAAACTGAACCGTCCACAGTAATCGCAACTCATAACCTCAAACCCAAAATCACAACACTCAGTCTCATCTCCATCTCTCACTCTCTACGGCGAAATCCGTCCCCATCGCCGGCGAAATCCCTCACAACCATTCACAGTAAAAAATCCCTCACAATCATTCAAAAATGGAAAATCAACCTCCGAGGGTTAGGTTTTTTATTTTTATTTTGAAATTTTTGCATTATTTTAGGTTTTTCATATTGAGATTGATGATAAGTTTACTGGTAATTTCAATAATAGATTAACCATTTCACTTAGATTTCTTATTAAATTCATTCGATTGTTGCCAATACTGCTAAACTGTTTAGCCTGTGAAGTTAGTATTTGTCTTTGTTTTGTCTTTTGGTTGAAGTAATGCAGAAGAAGAATAGTTTCGAGAATGAAAATCGCAACGTGGAAATAACTATCGCAACGAGAGAATCGCAACGCGAAACCAAAATCGCATTGCGATTTTCATTTCGCGTTGCGATTCTCTCGTCGCGATAGTCATTTCGCGTTGCGATTCTCTCGTTGCGATAGTCATTTCCGCGTTGCGATTCTCATTATCTCGTTGCGATTTTCATTTCAACCAAAAGACAAAACAGTGTTGCAAATTTTAGTTTCAAGAATAAACTACTATTTATGTTTATTGTTTTTGGTATATCTTGACAGTGTAGTTTTTGGTATATCTAACTAGGTATGTTTATTGTTTTTTGTAGAAATTTTTTTCGGCTTCATTGACATTAAGGAATAAAGTTAGCCTAGCCACTACAATTGCTTCGAAGCTTTCACCTGCACAAAGAAAATTGTTTGAGGAAACCTGCTTCGGGCCATGGCTGAGAGTACAGCATCCGGGTGGAGATACTAATTTGACCCATTTGTGGCTTCAGACCATGACTAGCGATCTACCCGACAATATACAACGTGGTGAGGAAGAGATATGGTTTCATTTTCCACCGGCGTATACTTGTTTTGGGCGGAAGGAGTTCTGCTTAATCACTGGTCTACGATTCGGACACGATGATGTAGGCCGGTACACTCGTCATATCACCCGCTCATCATGGTTATCCAGGGTTTTTCCTGATGAGTCAATAGAGAAGCCGAACTTACACGTCGACGACATGAAGAAATTGTTTAATAAGAAAGATGGTTTTACTCGGATGAATGACGTCGATGTTGTCCGAGTATGCCTTCTACTACTTTTGTATGCCGGCTTTTTAGGCAGAAAGGCAAGACAACCTATTCCTCAGGAGCTAATATTATTGGTAGAGGACCTAAATGCATGGAATCTGTTTCCGTGGGGTTCGTATATATGGAAAGCTACCTGGACTAAGTTGTCGTCTGCCTTTGATGACCGCAAAAGTTTGCGGGGCGATGGGTTGAAATACACTTTGTCAGGCTTTGTTTGGGCCTTTAAGGTAAGAATTTCTATATAATGTTTTCAAAATTATAATTAATTATTTAACAATTACTAATGTTTGTTATTATATTGTTTGTAGATTTGGATATTCGAGGCCTTTCCCGCCATGAATACATATGCAATAAAAACTTCAAATGATATTCCCAGGGCTATTTCCTGGAAGAGGAAACGTCTGTTGGATTGGGAAGACTTAATACCATATGCGACAATAAATAATGTAAGGTAACACAAATACTATCAAATACATGATGGATTCAAGTTGGCTCTCGTATGAGTTACCGGCCAGTACCATACCGGTATCTGAAGTGGAGAGGAAACAACTACCGGACACAATTCTAGATAACACCCTTTGGGCTAAGACCTCAGTTGATTTTTATCTACATGAGCGGAGCCAGGGGTGTTTCACTGACATATGCAAGCTCAACGATGATATCTATTTGTTGCTTGATCGGTCTTGGTGGGGCGTATTATTAGGGGTCGAAGAAAATGGCTATTTCGATGAAGGGGTAAGTCTTATATTTTTCTTATATTTTAATTTGATTTTTTTTTTAAATTTATGTAAGTTACTAATATATGTCTTTTTTTGTAAAACAGCATATCGATGCGTGGGTGTCACGTCTTCTAATAATTAGGAAACTTAAGGAAAATAAAAGAAATACACGATATACAATTATGCCGACGTCTTTTAACGCCGCTCACTTGAAGAATCAACGAGATGAATCATTTGCGTTGGGTAATGGACAAGCTAAACTTTATCCTGCATGGTGGGAGGTCGATAAGGTTAGTGTTTATTTTAGATTGAGTTTAAAGGTATTCATAAATAAGTGCGCAAATGAATGAATTATTACTTATGATTGCAGATGTTTATCCCTGTTTTGGAACGTAAACATTGGCTTCTCGTCGAGCTTCAGATCCCATCCCTTAAGGCAATAGTATATGACAGCATGATAAATTACATATCATTGGCTGATTTAAGAGATATTATTAAGGGATGGAGCTCTTATTTGGCTAAATTCTTGGATGCGATAAATTATTGGACTCGTTCTGGAAACAAGAAGCCAAAGAAGCTCAATATTACAGTTAGCAGAGACGATACCGCACCACAACAAACGAAAGGACCCAGAAGGGATTGTGGTCCTCTCGTATGCTTGGCGTTGGACCGTTTGATCACAAGAAGTATAAAGTATCTACCTCCCACCGATAGAGATAGAGCTGCAGTAGGCTTGTGGTTTCGGTATTATATGGCTAGATCGATATATACGAGACGCTGCCTACCTGCATCCTCGTTATAAAAATGTCCATAAACAATTGGTATGTTTATAGGCTTGTGGTTTGAAAATGTTTGGTTAAGTACCTAGAATTCAATAATTTGTTGTTTGTAGGTTTTAGATGTGTAGAAAGTGTTGTTTGAGCAAATGTTTGGTTTATGCAGGTTAATCTCAGAAGTGAGCTGCGTGAAAATGATGTATAGCTGCAAAAGTTGATTCAATAGTAGATGAGGAAATAAGAATTATTGCTTATTTTTTGATTGTTTAATTGATTTGTAAAAGGTGATTTGTAAAAGTTGATTTGTTTAATTGATGTTAACATAATTCTTATTTGTGCTTGTTTAATTGATTGAAATATAATGGTTGATTTTGTTGATTTCAATCTGCATTATGTTGAAGGCAAAAAGTACTATCGCAATGCGAAATGAAAATCGCAACGAGAGAATCGCAACGCGAAATGAAAATCGCAACGAGAGAATCGCAACGCGAAATTAAATTCGCGTTGCGATTTTCATTTCGCATTGCGATTCCCTCGTTGCGATTTTCATTTCGCATTGCGAAATTCGCGTTGCGATTTTCATTTCGCATTGCGATTCTCTCGTTGCGATTTTCATTTCGCATTGCGATAGTAATTTCCGCGTTGCGATAGACATTAAGATGATTGCCTATTAAGTGATAACAACTGAACAGATCATAGCAATTTTCAAACTCAAGTTACTAATACATGCC